ATGATTTGGATTTCCTAGCAAATCTTTTCCAGGAGCTGTTATTAGTGTGAACATCCTCCCTCCACTGGCGCTTCAGGCTCGGGGAAATCCCCATGCAGTACCACATCTGCGCCACACGAGGGCGCCTTCGAGTCAAGTACACGTCAACACAATCAATTTCAATTCAGTTTATTTATGTAGCGCCAAGTCACAACAGAAATCGTGTCAGGACACTGAACAAAAAAAAAAATCATATATGAAAATGATTGAGACAAATTTAGAGATGAGTTAAATGGCTCTTTGATCTTGACGGTCCGTGTATTTCACAGAGCAGCTCTGTCCCATACGTCGCCTTCAAAGCCAACCTCCTGTTGGAATCTCAAAAGTAAACTTTTAACACCTATCCAAAACAATCACTCATCTATAAAATGAAATATATAAATAAATAATGCAAACATAACAATTAAATTGATCATTTAATAATTAAATACATCATTAAATCGTATACAATTTAATTATTACATACACAATTAAATAATGAAATGTATGTTTTAAATTATTTATTTCATGGTCTATGTATTTATTTAATTTTGTTACATTCCGTCCTCCAGTGTGGAACACCAAATTGCTCAAAATTAAATAAACAAATAAAGCATTGTGAAATAAGTATCTAAGCTCATTATTATGAAAAAATAATTATTTTATTATTTTATTTCATAATTGTGTTTTGCATGATGGCTTATTTCATGATGACGTTTTTCAGCTGTCCTTCACCGTCAGTGGGTTGGACCTGCACCCCACTGGCTGAACCTTCACATCCATTCTAGCAGCTAGCAGCGACTTGCAAGGTCAACAGTCATGAAGGAAGGCCGAGTTGCATGACCTTCATTCATCTCAGGTAACTTTAGCAGATCAAATTGAGAGGATCGCGTTCTCAGAAGATACAGAAGACAGACATGCATTCAGATAAATCCCATTAAGGCCCGAGAACTCATTTACAAGAGAGACCTGATTTCAACAAAAGAATGATGACAACAATGGACAACAGCGACAACAATAGACAGTTATAAAAAGTCATACAGATTTTTTTTATTTTTTTTAACAATTAAGATGGCTAAAATTTTTTTTACAAAAAACAGCTAAATTATAAGGTGAATGTAGAAAACTAAAAACAGGAACATGTCTGCATTGATCCCTGCCAGGAGTCCAACAGATTCTTAAAGCCACTTAGAGAGGTCAAGGTCGAGAGCTTCAGATCTTTTTGTAAGATATTCCAGGAAACAGGAGCGGAGTAGGAGAAGGCCCTTTTGCCAAGTTCAGTCTGCTCTGAGGGAACACTGCAGGTAATAATGTCCTGAGAGCGCACGCTGTAGCTGCACTCACGCAGAGACGTGTAGGAGGAGATGTATGAAGGCAGCAGACCAAGAAGTGACTTAAAGATGAAAATAAGATGTATATATACATACATACTTTGTACATATACATACATACATGCATATATACATATGCATGTATATGCACATGTACAGGTTCTTCTAAAAAAAATTAGCATATTGTGATAAAGGTCATTATTTTCCATAATGTAATGATAAAAATGAAACTTTCATATATTTCAGATTCATTGCACACCAACTGAAATATTTCAGGTCTTTAATTGTTTTAATACTGATGATTATGGCATACAGCTCATGAAAACCCAAAATGCCTGTCTCAAAAAATTAGCATATTTCATCCCACCAATGAAAGACAAGTGTTTTTAATACAAAAAACACCAACCTTCAACTAATCATGTTCAGTTATACACTCAATACTTGGTCGGGAATCCTTTTGCATGAATGACTGCTTCAATGCGGCGTGGCATGGAGGCAATCAGCCTGTGGCACTGCTGAGGTGTTATGGAGGCCCAGGATGCTTCGATAGCGGCCTTAAGCTCATCCAGAGTGTTGGGTCTTGCGTCTCTCAACTTTCTCTTCACAATATCCCACAGGTTCTCTATGGGGTTCAGGTCAGGAGAGTTGGCAGGCCAATTGAGCACAGTAATACCATGGTCAGTAAACCATTTACCAGTGGTTTTGTCACTGTGAGCAGGTGCCAGGTCGTGCTGAAAAATGAAAACTTCATCTCCATAAAGCTTTTCAACAGATGGAAGCATGAAGTGCTCCAAAATCTCCTGATAGCTAGCTGCATTGACCCTGCCCTTGATAAAACACAGTGGACCAACACCAGCAGATGACATGACACCCCAGTGACTGTGGAAACTTGACACTGGACCTCAAACAATGTGAATTCTTTGTCTCCTCTCTTCTTCCAGACTCTGGGACCTTGATTTCCAAAGGAAATGCAAAATTTACTGTAATCAGAGAACATAACTTTGGACCACTCAGCAGCAGTCCCAGGCGAGATGCTTCTGACACAGTCTCTTGTTCAAGAGTGGCTTGACCTGGGGAATGCGACACCTGTAGCCCATTTCCTGCACACGCCTGTGCACGGTGGCTCTGGA